TTGGCGCTTGGTTACTTTGATCGTGAGCGGTTTCTTGACTCATGCTACAATAATAGAAATTCCTTCGTTAGGATTCTTGACGAGTTGACAACGGATATTTATTCAGACTATATCGATGTTTAAGTCAACAATGCGTCACTTCATTCAACAAGATTGAGCTATCCATAGCTTCTAGCAAGTAGGTTCCTTTGAATTTGACTGAACAGATTGTCAATACATAGTAAAGGGTAGCGATTCTTGATCGTCAGTTTGTCTGTCTTAACAGAGATGTGGTAGTATCCTTGACCGTAAGTCAATCTTAGAGAGCACAATGGATTCTCTAAGCTGATCAAATAAGTCATAGATACGAAATAAGAATAACGTCAATTTTCTTGTATGATATTTCAACAAAGTTTTGCAAGGAATTGTTGCGGAATGAACTACTTCGATTCGTATAATATAATCGCATAGTTGCGTCGTAATGAGTTAGACATCAGAATGGGATACTTTTAGACAACAGAGTTTATTGATTCTAGACGTTCGTGTTTAAATCAACAATCCAATCATCTTCAGTCCACATGAGGATCTTTGACAGCAGCTTTGCGAATGTTATTCAACATTAGGCGTTTCTTCATAGTCGTCTCACTTCTATGCGACTTTGCGAGATAGATCAGCTTCGTCAATCGCGATATGATAAGTACGTTGATAACGTATCACAATTTTTTTTATTCTTTCGTCTCTTCACCAAGTACGAAAAATCTACTTGCGTCTATGCTCGATATAATTTCACTACTAACAGATGTTATCTAGTGAGAATTTTAACAAAGTCAATATTTATCTAATAAATTCTCATACCTTTCCTGGAGCAGAGGGATGCGAGAGTCGTGGATGTGATTGAATAATTTTTTTTAAATCAAGTTTCGATCCGAAGATCGGGTTTAAAACCATTTGCTCCGATACCAAACTGTAACACCCTAAGCCGTCCAGGTCTGCAGCCCCTTTCGGACTAAAGTATTAACTTGGTAATCGTAAAAATTTAAAACATTTCAAACACTTTTATTTATCATAATAATATTTTTCATAATATAAACAGTACGGAGTTTTCAATATTGCGGAAGCTTTACCAAATCATAATTACAACATCATTTATTATGTTCTTTAATTCAAAACCATCACATCCATTCCAACAATCTCGCCTCCGTCTGCCTCCAGGATCATGTCACTTCATTAACCTGCGTGTAGCAAATAAAACATACTACACGCTCAGCGTTGAAGCTGAGTAAGCATATCTAATGCATCGAACATCCATATAAACTGAATCTAAATTCATAATCAAATCATTTGATATCATGCACATAATGTTCAGTTCAGATAATCAATAATTAAAAAAATTTATTCATCATGCATTATTCAACATGTATATTCACATTCAATGTTCATCAGTCATTCATAATAATTGCAATATTCAATTCAATATTCATCATTCAATATTTACTCATATTCAATATTCAAAATTCAATATTCAACAATATCCTTAAACTATTCTTAGTCTAGGGCCAATCACTTTAATATTTGTCAACCCTTAAACGAATTCTAGTTTAAATAATTAAACTATATTCCAGTATAAAATATTCCTAAATAATCCTTAAGCTAGGCCTAGTTTAAGATAAAAGGGTTTTGAAAATCTTAAACTTACCTTCACTTAAGGCGAACCAAAAACCGACAGCGTAGTGTTCACTGTTGGGTGGGTAGTACCCCTAAACGAGTAGGTACTCAAGTTTGGTACCTTCAAGACGTTGAAGGATAACGGAGCGGAAGAGTTTCGAGGAGACAAGATGGGGGAGCCCCAGATTGCATTGGATTGGCTTGAGCAGATGGACCGGGTACTCAAAAATTTGAGAGTCCCAGATGCTGATCGCTCGGAGTTGGCGTCACAGATATTCCGGAAGGGAGCATATGATTGGTGGAAGCGCATTGACCAGGATCCACACACGCCCAAGCCTTGGACCTGGGATCGCTTTAATCGAGCCTTCACGAAGGAGTACGTCCCCACCCGGTACCGCGAGGAGAGGCGCGATGAGTTCGTTGCGCTTAAGCAGGAGGGGATGTCACTGCCTGAACTGAGACAGAAGTTCGACTACTTGTCCCAGTATGCGACGAGTCTGGTCTCCACTCCGGAGGATCGTTTGAATGAGTTCGTCAAGAAGCTACGGCCGGACTTGAGGCCGTACGCCGCGCTGATCACGACGACAGATTTTAATGCGGCGTATGATTTGATTGTGAAGACGGAAAAGAGCTTGGACGATTTGCAGGCAACCAAGAAGGAGGATCGAGCGACGAAAGACCTGCGACCTGCGGCCAGCACCGGGCCGAGCGGGAAGAGTTTTGGATTCGGGGGAAAGAGGTACGAGAAGGGTTCTTTGAGTGCGCCGCCGCCTAAGAGGAGTAAGTCGAGGCCGTCTCCGTCGGCCGCCGCTAGCAACTCGATCAGAACGAGGAGCCACCCGCAGTGTGTACAGTGTGGTAGGCATCACCCGGGCGAGTGTTGGCTCGCCCAAGGCTTATGTTTGGGTTGTGGTCAGCCAGGGCATTTCAGGAGGCATTGCCCGACAAACCCTAGCAGCGAGCCTGTTTTTCCTAGAGCTCCGGATCAGCCTGCCACATCACATCCAGCACGGAGTCAGCAGTCTAC